AACTCGTGTTAACTAGAATAGAGATGTCCAGTAAGATCGTGAACACACCCTTCTTTTCTTACCATGTTAAACGTTAAATTTTCCGCAATGCTGCGCGTGGCGACAGGTAGAACCAAAAATAAAGCTATAATAGTCCTTGAAGACTTGTTTGTTTTGTGTTAAATTGGAATAGGAAAATTACTCAACTCTTTCATTCAAAATGCTATCAATGCAGTCGAAAAGTAATAACAAATGAAACACTTCAATTCATACCGACGTAACTTCTAGCCTAACGTTTAACAGCCTACAACTTTATAGGATTAGGGGATGTATGAATGAGAGTATAGGGACAGGTCAGAAATTAACAAAAGAAATGTATTAGTATGATTTAATTGATGCGTATTTAAGAATGAAAATACGTGTACACAAAAAGCAGCTGTTATATTCATGGCTGCCATGTTGGTTAGCTACGCCCTAAAGGCTAGCAATGTGACTACATGTAACATCGGCCCTGACCTGGTAGATCGAGCAATGTTAACAAACCATTGTTACTAGTCTACGTCATCATTTTTCTCGATCTAACACGATCTAACAGAGTTAACAGGGTTAACACCAAGATCGTGAATACCCCTAATATCAGAAAAAGCTTTTTTAGATGTATGTTTATGGAAGAAGTTCAAGCTCTAAAATACTGGTATTCTAAATAATAATAATAATCTTTAACTTGCTCACAGACTATAATAAAAACATAGGTCCGGGTATTCATTCAACACGACCGGACAAACATCCGTCAGAACAAACAACAATTGAACAAATTTGATAAACTTAGTCAATTAACGGCAGTACGTCGTTTAATAATCTATCTAGGACATAAACAAAACTATATGTCACCTTACCTTATTTCTTTGGTTAAAATTATGTTTTGGTGTTTACCCGGGCTAGCTCATCTACATCAAGTGTCATAACAGTTCAATCATGTCATATTATTAAGCGCTTCATTTCCGACGTGCAAGCAGGGAAACACTAACTTCTTAGAGTTTCTGCTCAAGCTCATTCATTTCAGCGGGATCCAGATACTATTCTAACTAATTTGAAGTGTCTGGAAAGTTTCGTATGTGGAAATTTCCAAGGTACTGTTAATGATCCTTCTTTCGTTAAGTCGGTAACAAGTAACAATGAAAAAGAACGAGCATATATAAACAATTAAAAAACCCGCAATCGGGCTACATGCAGTACTACTCCAACGATACTACATTGCTTCCTATTTAATTAATAATAGTGTCTCTATCACTGTCACTTCAAGGAGATCCCGCTGAGGCCGCCTCTTTATGCGAAGAGGAAGGATTGAGGGAATCGTCGGGATGAGAGTTTCTGGATTTGAAGATGATTTATGGGGGTTGGGAGGGGTTTATGAAGTGAGGATATGAGTATGATACAAAGAAGCATCTAGGAAGAAGATTATCGATTAGGGAATTTGGATGCGACGGATGTTGGAATGTTTGACTGAAACCCACACATCTAATCCGTAAATCCATGTAAAATCCTAGGTACCGCACCTTGTCTGCAGTTGTGAGGGAGATATTATTGAAATAAACTGGAGAAGCGATCTTTTTGCGGAGGGTGTTGATGGAGATTTCAAGTGGAAACAACAGGATCAGAGTTACGTGAGAAGCTGTAAAGTATGAAAACGACGGGGTGTGGTTTGAGGATAGGAGCTGTGTACTGGCAAAGTGAGGGTGAACAGAATGCCACCCTGAGCAATTCCGACGTATTAGAATACCACTTGAAAATATCGGATATTGAGGTAGCTGTGAAGTATGAGATGGTATGTGGACGGAATGCGCTGGACCAGGTGCCAAACTCGATCAAAAGCTAGGCTACATCAAGAAAGCCCCCAAAATAGTAATTTCCCTACTCAAGATGAACAGTTAAGCAGTAGAGTTCCTCACTGAAGATAGCGCAATGCTGAAACGCGATTGAATAACTCAAACAAAAAAACCCGCGAGTGGAGACTGACCCAGTAAGTAGCCGTGTGCCAAGTAGTTCAACATGAGAGAACGATAGTAGATAGCAGAACTACTGACTGGGCACTGCAGCTAGCAGTCTATGGAGTCAAATGTATAGAGCCAGGAAAAAACCAAAAGCGGAACATATCCTCTGTTGGTGCGAGGACTTACTGCAAGCTGAGAACCCTACTCCCAGTAGAGGAAAAACCCAGGCCTGAAGGTATACATACAGGAGCCCTTGACAAAGCTTTGGGATCTTACAAGAAGTCTTAGGGTTAACGAAGAGCTCTATATAAGAATGAAGACTGCACAGTAAACCAATACTGGTCGCGGTGCGTAAAGTCCTAAACCCGACTCCTCGTAACTTAACCTCTAATTATAGGAGCTTTTGTAAAAACATTTTCGAAAATAGGTACAGCCTTAATGCAGACTATGAGAGGTCCTATATGAAGTAGTACACTGCATTCTTTTCCTTGGATACAAGTGTTTCCTTGTGCAAAGAAAAGTAAGTTTTGGCCAAAAAGACAGTTTAGCCCTGATGAGTAAATACTAAAAAAAAAATAATAATGAAAGTTGGTTGCGACGTATTTTTTGCCTGTAAAGTTTCTCCAATATCTCATTCAGGATTTAAATTTCAATTGATTTCTTCACATACTGGCGGAGCGCACTGCCCAAAAGGGTTCAAAAAATTTTCTTCTAGGAACGAGGGGATTGAAGATAAATAAATAACGGTCAAATTATCTAACTTCATTCGTGTCAGGAGCTTACCAAAGTGTTTAACGTAAACTATGAAACCATTCGCTCTAGCTTACATCGACATGAGAAGACGTGGAAGCTGAGCAAATGAGTTCCTAATAAATTGACCGACTTTAGGCTTTAAACATTTGCCTTTCAATGCTTTCGTGGCACAAAATAGTGACCGGATTGTCACATGCGACAAAAAGTGGATCCTGTACAGTAAAACTAGAGGGTCGTACTACTGACTGTCCCCAAATGACCCTGCCTGTCCCAGTGAAGCGAAAATCGAATATGCATCAACAAAAGGTGATGTTGCGAGTTTGGTGGACTACTGTTTTTAAAAAATTTTAACCACTTTGGGGCAGGGTACTCAGTTATTGTTTCATCACCAAACGCAGTGCAGGTCTCACTAGCTGCCTCGGCCGCCCTAGTACCGAGCTAAAATTCAAACAATAAGTACACACGAGTTATGGGTTTTTCACCACAAAAAACAAAATTTTTATAATTGACGGTGAACTGTTCGACAGTTTTAGGTTGTGAATTGACGCATTATCCTGTTGGTATTACGTAATGGAAACACGTAATCCACCTATGTAAATAGAAAAGTTTGATCAACTCTATTAAAACAATAACAACGAAAAATAGCACAAACCTTTCCTGTTACCTCGTACATGTAAAGGACAAAAATATATATGTAATAGTAGTAAATATAATCTTATTACTCTTATTACTCAAGTACTAATGTTTTTCATTTGTTCAACAAACGTTCATTTAATTTCATTAGTGGTTTAATTCCCTCTAGAGTAGATAGTAGTCCATTAGCTTAGCTATGGCAACAGTATCCATTTAATAGAATAGACCGGGCAGTACTCAATTAGTAGCTTTTTTAAAAAAGACATTGCAAAAGTTAATTTCCAAAATGTGTTTTATAAGCACATCAACTGTAATATTTTTTAGTAAAGATTTTAAAAATAGACAATAAACTTCACTAGGTACAATAAGTCGCTTTTATCCTGAAAAAGAATGAAAAACTACCCAAGTAGATTCCTTGTTGGTAGTGATAGCTTGGAATATAGTAAATGATTATGAGAAGAGACTATGAAGTGGGGGTTTATGTTTCCTAGTTACTTAGTTTAGTCTGTCGATTCGATCCTACTTTTAAGGAGTACCTAAACATTGACTGTCATTGCTTCAATTCCATTCCCTGGGTTTTCTTTGTATCTCAGGTTATGTCTCCATCGAGCGGTTGCTTCGCATTCGAAGATGGTATAGATTGGTGTTTCTTCCTCCTCATTGCATAACCTACATATGGGGGTCATCATTGTATGTACCCATATTGTGCAGATATTTCCCAGATGCCAATGACATATAATCACCTCTAAGTCTCTTGAACGGTACCAGTAAGTTTATATATATGGTCTTGCACATTCTTCTCTTGCAAGTGTGTTTTTTGTCCACTTTTTTAGTTACCCAAAATTTCCTTTTGTCCTAGTACCAAATACATCATGAAGTTGTTGTGGGAGATTTTGGACGCATTGATAGACTAATTTTAATTAGATTTTTATTTGCTTTAATAGTTGCGATTTTTTGCCAGTGTAACTTCTTGTAAGATTTTCTAAGGCACATTGATGGGTGTATTGCAGCTTAAAAGACTGAAGTGTACTTCCCTAATGAGCTTGATTTGGCCCATGTTTTGTTTGTAAAAAAACACCTGATCTGGTTATATCGTTTGTTTTGAAGCCATCTATATACCATAACATTGTATCTGATGTTCTCCTTAATTCTTTATCTCCTTTGTGGTCTGTTGAGACTTTATAGGATGTTGTAAAGAATGTTTCCGGCATCACGTAGTCAGTTCACATTTCTAAAAATGGGTGTCTGTTTTTATTTATTATTGATATATGCCCGAAGTGTTTAGAACCCATCCAAATTGTTTGTTCCAGGAGCCTAAATGAGCTATTCCTTGCTTCTCTTTGTATAAATATTTCCAATGGAGATAAGTTTAACAGAGTTTCTAGTGCAATTGAGGGAGTTGCAATACAGTAAACAGTCACAGTTTATACACAGATTGCACCAAGTGCCACCCAAAATCGATATAAGGTGGACAGGACGAAAAAAAGATACAAACGATTCGTCTTTGTATGCCTCATTAAGCAAGTAATTAAATTTCTTCACTAAAAATCATATCTTACTAACTGGCACTGAGTAATCTTTTTTTTCCTAACGAAACAACGAAAATCTAATATGTATACATCAATGAAAGCAAATATTACTCACAATTAAGTTGACATTCAACACAGACGGGCCGTGGCACAGAAGGAGACGAACTATGTTGACGTTGCCCGTCCACGCGGCTAGGTGAAGGGGTGAGCATCCTTTATCGTCAACGATATTAGGCGAAGCCTCGTACGTTAGTAGAAGCTCAACTATCTCCCTGAAAACAGACAAAACAACATGAAAATTTCATCATAAATACAATTATCTGTGTGACGGATTTTTTTCAAAGTGTAGTATATTTTTATACATGTGTCTGTACAAGTATGAAACTGGGTGGATCCGATGAATCTTCAAAATGTGAGCTTGTGAAACCTGGGACGGCCGTTCCCCCCCAGCTCGAAGGGGTGGTTACCTCTTGGAGGATCTCGCCTGGAGATGCCGCAGAAGAGGGGTAGATCATTCTCTCGGAATTAACTCGGAATACGCGATAGGGACGGTTGGCTTCTGGGATGGAGCGAGTGTAACCCTAAAGGGGGAGCTCGAGAAGCCCTGGGAACAGCCGGGCCAGGAGGCGGCACAATGTGGGCACCCCTTGGAGTACGGTGTTACTGCACGAGGCCCCAGAAAGGAGGTGTGCCTAGTACCGTTCTTAGCAACTACGAGGTGCCCTTAGTAGGATTCTTGTTCGAAGAAACGACAAGAGACCTAGAGGGCGGAGATTGAACCGAATTTTGGTTGTTGGTCTCTGGAGCGGAGCGGGCGTATCCTGAAAAGGTAAGCTTGTGAGGCTTTGGTGACTGGCGTGACCGCAGCTTGGCGAGGAAGTTGCGTTTTGAAGGATCTCAATGAGATACCAGAGAAGAAGGGTGGATTATTCTCGCCGAGTTTTAAATGTGGTAACATCGGACGAGTAGGTGGGATGTGCTACGACTACGCACGCCTACCTAGTCCCTCGAGATGTGTTAAGGGAGTTGTTGGCTTGAGAGATGGCCGCGAACGGCGGGTGCTGCATTAGAGACACACGCAGGTTAGGGTACCAGACCCTATCTAAATATATATATATATTTATTTATTTATTTATTTATACCGCCCGGGATGGTGCATGCCGTGGACGGTAGTACTTGCGTATGACCTCCGAATTACCTCCCGCCCTCGTGGAATCGGATGGATCGGATTGCCGACAGCGTATAGCCAGCGAGGAACTGTGACTACGCTGCCGGGGTCCCTCGAATGCGTGAGGAATGGTGACCGGAGGCGGATGCTTGTGGTCGATTGGGCTGCCTTTACCGTAGGCATAGTCTCCTCTAGGGGGTGGTTAGAGATTCCACTAAAATCGAAAGCGCGCCCGGAGGGAGTGCGTGGGAGACTTGGCCGAAGCATTTCGACCACATTTTGGGTATCTATTGGGTTGTCCGGAAAATAATGCAGGATTTTGGTATTAAACAAAAAAAAAGAAACTAGTTACTTTAAAGCAATGTTCTTTAATCAAAATAATTTCCCATACTCTCAATACATTTCTCCCAACGTGTTGGTAACTTATTAATTCCGTCTGAGTAGAATTCAGAATTTTTAGAATTGATAAAGTCAATAAATGCATTTTCCAGTTCCGTTTGATTTTTGAATATTATGTGTTGTAAGTAGTGGTCCAGGTGTCTAAAAAAATGGTAGTCAGTAGGCGAGAGGTCCGGAGAGTAGGGTGGGTGAGGCAAAGTTTCATAGCCAAGCTCCAATAATTTTTGTGACGTTACACGTGACACATGTGGTCGAGCGTTGTCATGCAACAAAATGGGCCCTTTCCGATTGACCAAAGAGGGCTTCATTACTGCCAATTTCTGATGCATGGTATTAATTTGGTTACAGTATGATTCAGCATTGATGGTTTCGCCAGGATTTAAGAAGCTGTAGTGTATTAAACCAAATGAAGCCCACCATACCGTAACCATTACCTTTTTTTGATGAGTTGGGGGCTTTGGAAAATGTGGTCAGCGACGGTCGTTTTACTGACTTTGAGTTGCTCTGCAAGTTCTCGAACAGTTGTTTTGGGGTTTTCTTCCACCACTGATCGCAGAACATCATCATTAAGAGAGGAAGGCCTTCCACGACCTTCTTCATCTTCAAGGCTGAAATCTCCCTCCCGAAATTTTTTAAACCACCTTTGCACAGTGCACTCATTAACACAACCCTCGCCCCAGACTTGGTTAATGTTTCTAGCCGTTTGGGCTCCGCTTCGGCCGAGTTTAAACTCGTAAAAGAAAATCGTACGAAATTCTCGCTTTGACATTATAAGGATGACTGAATTATTTCCAAGTAGCGGAATGCTACAGAGGTAAACAAACAATATCATTTGGAAGAGGATTAATAAGTGTTGACATTCGTACAAATGAGTAATCCTGTAAACGTAAACAGAATATTTTATATAGATTTTTTTTAATGAAAACTTAAAATCCTGCATTATTTTCCGGACAACCCAATATTTACGCGCGGCACTGGTTAAGTGCACAACGTTAACCCACCCCCTCGGAAGGGGCAAGCAGGAGAAGACAGCATTTCTGTCGATTAGTCTGTGGATTTGCGGGCTTCTACACCGAACCTCACGGAAGAAGCAGATTTTCCTGCGCGGAGTTGAGTCGCTCCCAACTTGAAAATCTAAACATGTGATAAGGCCTAACGGCTAGGTGCTCACGCAAAAGAACCTCAATGTTAAAAGACATTGCATCCCCAGTGGGAAACGAATGTTGGATGCCAAAAAGATAGGCATAATTTAATGCTATTAAATGATAAAAGGCGTAAAACTAAACGGTACTGGAGAAGAAATTTATTTTCCAGTGGAATTCAAGTTGCTTTTAATCTCCTCGAAAAAATTAAAATTATTAGATTCCGTGGGTTTCAGAATTTAGTAAGAATGAGCTCTGGTGAATACTAAATCCTTCTGGGCACGGTTGGACAAAAGATTTTAAAAAACAACACCATGATTAGGAGGCCCATGACGGGACAATAAACTGAGCCAAATTCCGGAGCATGTAAAGATTAGACATGTTGCGTAACATTGTATCAGTTCCGTTTTCGATGGGGAACTTTTGTATCGCGACAGTAGCGTGAGAGGAAAAGATGTCCCGGAGCACGCCATTTCTTGTCGCGAAACACATGTTCCGCAACAAATGTCACAAGGTAGACAGATCTGGCGGGTTTCCTACTAACTCCTTATACAAAGCCAATGTAAGTCCCTTCAATTACGTGGCATACATCGTGCAACCTTTCTTCACAAGCCGACCATACTCGGGCTTTAGCTCAAAAGTAAGAGTCTATGTGTCAACCCCGCTCGTCAGGTAAATATGATCCCTTCGTCTTTTGTTAAGATTTCCCTAAGACTATATATCGACCGAGCTATGCATAGTGAGAGATTCTAAAACCGATCCTGTACACTCACGTTGATATCTCCTTTTAATTATGTTTCTATTGCATTTTTGGCGACAAAGGTTGGGAACGCGATGACCAGTTTCTAAAGTTGGGATGTACCTATTATTAGCCGCATCGTCCGCCTTTTTGTTGCTTTCCAGACCTATGCGTGCAGGGAACCAGACCCCAAATAGTCTGACAACTGCGTATTTCAGCAGCCCGCCTATTTCGTTGGTTTGTAACTAGATTTACGTAAGAAAGCTTTTAGGGAAATCATTTCTATGCATGCAGGATTCGGCCCAAAAGTAGGCTAGATACACATACAGATTTTCGAGTCTCAGTTTCGTGTTACTAGAGAGTGCGCATGTCTTGGGTTAGAATTAGGTTTGGTTAGGTTACGTTGATGTTATAATTGGTTGGTAGGGTTAGTATTATACTGTTAATAAATGTTTTCCTTTCTGGACATACAGAATTTAAAAAACTAACTGTTAGCCAAAAAATTAATACTTCTCCTATATTTATATTTTTTCTAAATAATATATTTCACGAGGGCAAATATAAAGAGTTTAAATATGTATGGCAATAATAATTATGTTCAAGATAATATAAAAGGGTAAAATAAAAGGAAGCATGCAAACAAACTTAAAAATCAAAAAAGAAAAGAGCATCAAAGAAGACAAAATATAATTATTTCATTACCAGGTGGGTACAGAGGAGTTAAGAGTTAGTTTTAAAAGGGTTAAGTTTAGAGTTAGGTTACATATTCATAGTTCAATGACGTGAAGCGGAGAATATTTCTATATAAAGGGGCTTATGCCGGACATTATCGTCGAAGTACCCGCGGACGAGGGATCAAATCATTTTACAATAAATTTTTACATTATTATCAATTAAAATTCCATAGGCTGGTGTGGGGATTCAAATCCAGAACCGTCACGGGGCCCAGAAGGGCGAGTTTTTATTTATTTATTTTTGCATATATTTCTACACATTTGAATTTTACAGACTTGACTACAATTTCAAAAAAACCTGGAGCCTAAATGTATGTATTCTGTTCATTTATAATGACACAGTTGGTTAGAACCGAACTCAAATTCTCCTGCACCGTTCGTAGCATTAACTCGCCTTTTAAATACTTGGTTTTCTTCGGAAAGCGAACCGAAATACTCCTCCTCTCTTAATAGGATACAATTACTTCCAGCTCTATTAAAAATCTATAGCTTTCATTTTATTATTTTTTTTTTTATTACTAAAGAGAAATCTTTTTATTTTAATTCAACAGTTACCATTAGTTTGATTGCGTTCTTCCACAAGTCTTAACTTGCCGCTTCGAGTACTGGTACCTGTTTACGTAACGTAAATCAGTTAAGGGACCTTCAGTCCTATTTAAATTCCATTTGATAGTCATTCCTTAATAGTAGTTCACCCCTTCAGGGCATTTTATACTTGTAATTATTGGGCCTCAAATAAATTGTATGTTTTAACACTGTAATTTCTGCTTTTTCATTCATAACCAACAATTATCCTATTTAAGTACTCCTCCAACGGTTTGCGTTATGAAAGCAGTTTCTCGAATGTGGCGCAAATCTTAAGTATCAGAAATTTGACTTCTCGAGAAAACTGCAGGCCTGGAAAGGTGTTGGAGCGGGAATCAGCAGACGGAAAGTCACACAGTCACGGTGTGTACGAAATAATTCAATTCGATCAGGTCACTTCAGCCGTTCTAGTTAGTGGGATCTAGAGGAGATCCTTTGTGAGAAGCCGCCGCGCGTACTCTGCTTAATTTTAAGCTTCAGTAATATCGGGGTTGAATGTGACATTTGGCATCAGAGCGTGCCATTCTCAAGTCACCGACGTGACAATAAAATAAAAAATAATGATGGTTTGGAACGTTAATGAAACCTCATATAGAATGTATCAATCTTGATGTTTCAGGAAACTACAGAATTCCATTCCAAATTGTGACATAGTTTAAAAAACGTCACGAAAGCGAACTTTGTATTCTGTCTGAATTGGGAAATGGCCCTTAATGCGAAAAATGGTGACAACAGACATTAACGAACAACATCCGCAGGGTAGTAAAACGGGGCAAAAACGGGAAACGCGTTACAAATTGACGTTTTGAGATTATTCCAGAACAGCATGACTTCATTTCTGGACGTTCTATTGCCAGTAAACCTACTTTGCTATCAAAAGTATATTCTATCCTCCTTATCTAATGGCTTTCAAGTTGACCCGGTCCAATAGAATCGTGAATGCCCCCTTCTTTTCTTAGCATGTTAAAAGTTAATTTTTCCACAATGCTGCGCGTGGCGATTGGAAGAACCAAAAATAAAGCTATAACAGTCCTTGAAGGCTTTTTTTTATAATAAGAAAAGAAAATAATCAAATCTTTCATTCAAATGACTATATATGCACTTGAAAAGTACCAATAAATGACACACTTCAATTCGTGCCGACGTAACTTGTATCCTAATGTCTAACAGCCTACATCTTTATAGGATTAGGGGATGTATAATGAGAGTACAGGGACAGGTCAGAAATTACCAAAGAAATATATTGGTCTGATTTAATTAATGCGTATTTAAGAATAAAAATACGTGTAAACAAAAAGCAGCTGTTAAATTCATGGCTTCCATGTTGGTTACCTACGCCCTAACGGATAGCAATGTGACTACATTTTCGATTTAACACCTAAGTTTGGCTCTGGCTAGTTAGATCGAGCAATGTTAACTAGCCGATTCTTACAAGTCTACGTCATGTTTCTCGATTTAACAGGGCCTAACAGAGTTAACAGGGTAAACACAAAGATCGTGAATCCCCAAATTATCAGTGTTAATAAAATGTTAAAAAAGCTTCTGAAATTTGCTATAAGAAACACTCGTAACTTTCATAATCCCGATTCATCACTGACATAGTACAAAACCCTCATTCCTCCTATCCTTGAATTTTGTACTGTTGTATGAAATCCACACTTTTCTTCACATTCTGAATTTTTAAATAAAGTTCAAAATAAATGTATTGCAATCCTTCATTTTCGATTTCCTCTCTTTTCATCTTATTCTCTTTATAATCTTCCAGCACTCGCTGACAGGAGGCATTTTTTGATCTATTACTTCTTTACGATATAATCAATGGGCGACTAAATTGTACTGAAGTCATTTCATGTATCACTTTCAATGTCCCAATTCATGATACCATTCATCTATTTATGTTTAGTGTACCCTTTTGTAAAACAAATTATATATTTTATTCGCCAATAAATAGAATAATGGGAGAAGGAAATATGTAAAATAAGGTATTGATTTTTTTCATCTAAATTTTTATACATTTAAACATAAATTAAAGGCAATAATTTTTAGACTGTTTTGGAATAAATATACTTGTATTATAAAAAATATAAATATTCTATCATATAAATAAAATATTATATATTATTATTTAAAATATATAAATTTAGTTTAATGGTTATTATTATTAATGCTTTGTTCTTGTTATTTTATAAATTTTGTTTATTATCTACAATTTAAATTGTTTATAACATCGTGATTTATGTTCTTTGTAAAAGTATCTTTGATCCGTATGTATACTTAAAGAAATAAATAAAAATTCTGCGTGTAGGAATACTGACTAGATCGCCCTTGAATTGAGCGATTATAATCAATTTTTCACATGTAGCGTTCCAATGAGAAGTTTTAAATACATAATTATTGCGACAAGGTTGGATGTTTAAGGGAATGAGTGATTTCACGAGGTACATTCAAAATACCATATAAACCGTAAATTTAAACAGTTCAACTGCGGATTGCCAAGATGAGTTTGGTGCACTTTGAGCTTGTTCCAAATGCTAGGGTTGTTGACTTCTGAGCTCTAGGACGAAAATAGTTGGACCAAAGATGATTCGTCAAAAAAATATTATAATACACTTACTGGTGGCCGTTGAGTGCAGCGTGATGCAGTGCCGAGTAACCGCTACCGTCTTGCACATTGGCACCTGGTCCTCTTCGCAAACTGTAACATAAAAACGAATTATTCTATATGTGAATCATCGACAATGAAATATTTTTCATTGTAAAAACAAATGTTCTGTGAAAAAAAGAATGTTTGAGAATATTATATTTCCTTTATGCTAGCTTGCATGGATAACCCAGGCGTATCCATTGAATTAATATAGAACTAAAAGTTAAAATAATCCATTAGAGTTCGTGGTCCGATTGACCAAATAACTTTTTTCAATTAATTAATCTTTACATAAGATATTGATTGAGATAAAAAAGTCAGCGACACGAGCGGGATTCGAACCACGATCTTCGGCTAAATACTCCGCCGCTGTTCTACCACTTGAACTATCGTGATTTCAATCCACTCGGACACAAACTTCCCATCTCAACCCCACCATCTTTTCTTTAGTATATCTTCACTAAAGCTCTCCGTGGCCATTTCATTTGTCGCCGAGAATCGAACAAGGGAGAGGGGTGAGGGAGAGGGGTGAGGGAGAGAGGTGAGGGAGAGAGAGTGTNAGAGTGAGACATATATAAAGGGATGAGAGAGAGAGAGAGAGAGACATATAAAGGGATGAGAGAGAGAGAGAGAGAGAGAGAGAGACATATAAAGGGATGAGAGAGAGGGAGAGAGATTGAATTAAATAACAAATTGAAATAATGGTTTCTAGTAAAATATACAGAATAAACACAAAAGCCCACATCTGAAGAAGGCTAAATGAAGAAGTACCGTCTCATCAAACAATAGGTTGGGTCGCGTCGCAGACGTGCAGAAAGAACGACTGGACGATGTTGGTTCTACTTTAAATTAGTTATACAATATTAACAGCTTTTTATTTAATCACAGTTCATTAGAGAAACGGTACAAAATAGCCAAGGGTTCAATTATACGGCATCGAAAACGATAACCCCTTTTGTTATTCTTCGTTGGTCCCGCAATCCATACTTCCTTTTATCAAAGCTATCTCCTATCGCGACATGGCTCTAATAAGCTACATGAGACCTGAGAAAATATACTCAATTCCTTAGTGGTTTTATTGATTTGAGCTGGCATGGCAACTCTTTTCATTTTTTAATATCTGACCAACTGTTGATTCTCAAAAAGAAAACAGTTACCGAGTGCCTTAAGGCTTTCAATCATTATTTGTGGATTCTCCTGCCACTTAAAATCGAAATTTTTATCAATTTTTAGTTTAGTTCAAATTTTTCTGCCTAGTAATATTGATCAATTAACAAACTTGGGCTAACAACAATTGATTTTGTCAACATTGATTTAATGCATGAAGAAGTTGATAGGATGTACATCAATATATGGAGTGGAGTGCCTACAAGGTACAAATGAAAGATCAATTTTCAAACTGTAAAAGGTCAAAACGTAGGAATATATGTCGTGTAGTATAACTAAGGAATGCTGCCTCACAATACATTTGTTATACTTATTGAATTATAATTTCTCTCAATGCTTTCTACCGTGATATAACATTTTCTTAAATAAGCATAAGCCCCACAATCGAATTATACCGATCTTTGCCTTATATAAAAATAATGAGCTATAAATCGGTTATACGCACTTTTTATGTTGGTTTCAATTGATTAGAAGATTTATGATGATACGTTTCTCATAGTAACCACAAATGAAGTATAATTAGCACCACCCTAATTCGACAGGCGTAGGCACTTAGTGCTACTTAGAATAAGTGCCTGATGTAGCCAATGATTTTCATCAATCACTAGAAACTTACTAAAACTGTTGGCTTTCTTTACAATGTAATAGAAGTAGAAAGACATTCCTGTTTGAAATAATGTTCTAGCACGAATGGGATAAAAGGTTGAAATTGTTCCGATAAAAAGAAAAGCCAAAGTCAATTTTAATGAATCTCGTCATAATAAACATTACAATTAATTAAACAATGTCTTTGTTTTGTTTTCTGACCCCAACTAAAAATATCTAATGGGAGATTATTTATCTAATCGACGAGTGAATGTTCTCTACATCCTCGGTGATCTCATCGCCCAGATATGTCCAATTTAACACCTGTTTAATGACAACAAGCAAATCGTAATAAAGTAAATAACAAAACAAGTTGACTTATTTAATCACTGAACAATTCTCTAAGAAATAACTAAGGGAGTTTCGAAAAACTGACTCATGCATTTTGGTATGCTGTACATACATTCATATACCTTACACATTTATGCTATGATTTTTACCACATGGCACCACTGACACTACGCTAAACACTACCAGAAGGCACATCTTGTGAAACCAGCCTAGGTTTAAACCTTTTAACACTCGCTGCTGAGGGGAGTAAGAGGCGAGTATGTCCCGGGGTGAGATACTAGGCTTGTATGGAAGGGTTAGGGTGAGATGAAAAGTGAGAATGAAACTTCAAATCAAGTCTTAAAACAAAGGGAAGGTTGAGGTCATTGTGGATGGTGAGGTTACAGATTTTTGGGGACCGCGGTAGCCGAGTGGTTAGCATGAGAGACTCTCACGCCGCGGTCGTGGGTTCGATTCCCACCGTCGCCTCTGGCCCTATTTTCCCGATAACCCCCAATTTGAACAACATATATAGGAATTCGTCATGGCTGATATGCAAAGATCATAAGGCCAATAAATATAAAAAAAAAGTTACAGATTTAGTAAAGGGCTTGGAGAATTGAGGACTTTCGCTTAAAATGTTTGGATGGGTTGAGTATAGAACGGTTTCCTGGTACCCTACAATTCTTCTCCTCTTCTCTCTGTTGTCTAAATAAGTCGATTTTTTCTTTTTTTTATAATTAGTTTGGTTTTTTACTACAGTCATATCTGATTGTGATCCAAGCAGATTCTTAGTTGACCACGGATGGTGGCTTCCCTCCCAGTCTAGAGTGGGGATCCTCCTCCAGTATTTTAATTGTGCTGATGACGGTAATTCCTTGTTTCTGGCGTATTGTCTAGGGCCAGTAGGTTTTTTAAATGTAAAAGAGATAGGCTCGAGGTAGATCGTTGGCGGTGGCTAGTATGGGATCTGGATTCGTACACAATATTGTTTTTTTTTCCATTTCGATTGACGAGGTAAGGTTAGAATTGGGTGGTGGCAGGTCAGGAAATGACAAGCATGCTCCCTTCTTATTGTGTATGTCGGAATAGATCGATTTTATTTTCGAGAACTCATTGCCCCACCTGATATTGAAGCAGCGACCAGTTAGGTAGGATTTTAGGATTAGGTAATATGTAGTAGGTAAAGAAGTAAGTATTAAAGAATTGCCGTATGCTCTGTCGAACACTTGGGCCGCACACAGTCTTTCTCCTCTAACGCGGACAATAAAGGAAAAAATGACAATATCTAATACATATATTAAATACAGTATTAAGTAAATCATGGCTGGTAGAATAGATGTAGACAATTATTGCACAGGTGGTTCTTTACTGAATACTGAAATGTCAGCAAATTTAGGCTGTTCTATTTATGTAGAACATCATTTCCGTAGCAAAAGAAGCCGAACTAACGGACATTTGCCAACCCGGCTACATTCTCACCCATTCAAGGATCAATTATAACCATTATTTATCAGGCTCAAGAAAGAGTACTACAATATATAAAAGTCATGTAGACTAGGATGTGTAAAGGAATATTCGATCATTTTTCATTGCTAAATTGAAATCAGTTGTTCATCTCACTTGTATAATCATGAAATAGAATGACTGATTTTCACCAGGTATCTGAAAGCAAACTCATCTACCTTGTCAACTTTAATAATTAAAAGGAATAATCCATTCCATTGAATTTTTTTACAGACGGAACGTGTTTTTATATATGTATTTATTTGTAGTGTTCATAATGCAACTTTAAATCATTGTCTTTTTATCTTTCAAAGAGGAGGACGTTTGTGTTCCGACCGGATGAAACACTCACTGCGCTCCAGACCCTGACTATCTTGAAACATTGGTCACGAAGATGAGATTTGAATCTATTTAAAACTTTACTACTCGCAATGTTAAACTTGTTTTCCAGCGTTTTGAAATTATTGTGTAAAAGTAAATTTCTGAAGAAAAAAAATATATTTAAGTTATATACGAGTATAACTATTTTGTTAAATAAATGTGATGACAATGCTAGGATGCAGGTGTTGCTCCTAGAATTGTCATCAGCACTCTCTCCCATTCTAGAAATTTTATAAGGATTTTCATTTAACAAACGAGTTAGTCTTAAGTTAGATTTCCCGAAAGCACATCGGAGAGATTTGATTTCGATTCGTAAATTAAAAGAACTGAATATATATCAGTACTTATTTGTAATTTCTGGAATAAAGGTTTTTAGAAACGCATTCGACAAAAGAAATTATTTAACTGGCGCAGTCGGACTGGACATTGTCGAAAGTTATTGAATGAATATCGAGTAACTTGCCGTTTCATCGGTTCATCGGCAATCGGACAAACAACAATCGGTGAAGAGTTCAGCGCATATGAACTTTCCTCCCGGACAACGACATCGAACTTTTAGACCCCCTGAACCGGCGAATATGGCTGTAGGAGCTCTCGTTTTTATGTAAGACAATATTTAAAATAATCTCATTTAAATTTGTAATATTATTAACATATTCTTACAAAACGAAAATTTTTATTAATTGTTAACAAATATCCAAAATGGCTCTCCCAGAATTTAAAAGAGAATTTCTGGACATGGTCTCGGAATTCAATGGAGCCCAACCGTTCTAACACGATTCATAGACATATCGCAAAACTTACTTAACACATTTGTAGATACTAACCACCCCAATAACTTCCAAAATGTATACCTGCTTTCATGTTTAAGAAATAAGATAAAAGGTCCTGCAGCTCAAGTGATTGAAAATAGTAACGTGTCAAACTGGGCAGATTTAAAAACTGCATTGTTAGAGGGATACCCCGGCAAAAGGGACGCATTCACTCTCCAGATTGAAATCTCTAGACTCACACAACAAAATGAAAAACCATATGAGTTCTATCAACTGGTACAGAACATTCTTAAAGTTACGAATAGCATA